CTTGGCAGTGGTGACACACGTTTTTAATCTCAACACTTAAGAGGCAAAGGCAGGCAATACTTTGTGAATTCGAGGCCAGCCTAATCTACAAAGTAAGTTCCAGGACAGGCTCCAAAGCTACACAGAGAAACCCTGTCTCAAACAAACAAACAAACAACACAAAAACAAAACAAAGAAACAACAACAACAACAACAAAATCAGGATTGCTAAAACAACCCCAAACTGTTGGAGGTAACACCATCCCTTATCTTGAATTGTATTACAGAACTATAGTAATAAAGACAGCAAGCAGGATATTGGTGTGAAAACAAAACATTGACAAAAGAAATTGAGTTGAAGACCCAGTCTTGAGGCCACAAGCTTAATGACATGCAATTTTTGACAAGAAAACAGAACTACACACTGGGAAAAAGGCAGCATCTTCAGCAAATGGTGCTGCTCAAACTGGATAGCTATGTGCAGAAGAATCCAAGTAGATCCAGATCTATCACCCTGCATAAAACTCAACTCCACATGACTGAGGACCTCAGCATAAGCCTGATTCACTTAATCTGATAGAAAAGGAAGTAAGGAGTAGTCTTGAATTCACTGACATAGGAAAAGACATTCTGAACAGGACACCAAAAGCATGGACACTAAGAATAGCCCTTAACAAATGGGACTTCACAAAACAGGAAAGCTTGTGCATGGCGAAAGACACCATCACTTGTCCACAATGACAGACAACAGACTGTGAAAAGATGTTTACCAATTACACATTCAATAGAAGGCTAATATCTAAAATATATAAATTACTAAAATAAACCGGACTTCAATTAAACAACCCAGTTTTAAAAGGGGTTGCAGAACCAAAGAGAGAGTTCTTGAAAGGTAAAATAGAAATGTCTGAGAAACACTTAAATATGGCCAGTATTATCAGTATCAGTATCAAAAATACCTTGAGATTTCATCTTACACCAGAAAGGATGGCCAAGATCAACAGAACAAATGACAACTTATGCTGGAGAGGATGTGGGGTACGGGTAATACTCATTCATTGCTGATGGGAGGGCAAACTTGTACATCCACTATGAAAAGCAGCTGCTGAGGAAGCAAGGAAGCCCTCTACTCCAAGTTTCAGCTATACGCACATGGGCATTTAATGAAGGGACTCTATATTCTTCTCCAGAGATACGCTGCTGTCTTCATTGCTGCTCTATTCATAATAACTAGAATATGGAAATAACCTCGATGCCCTTCAACAGAAGAATGCATAGTGAAAATGAGATACATTCCCATAATGGGATATTATTCAGCTGTTTAAAAGAATCACAGAAATGTGTATGAACCTAAAAAATATCATACTGAGTGAATAACCCATACTCAAATGTCAAATTGTGTGTGTGTGTGTGTGTGTGTGTGTGTGTGTGTGTGTTCTCTTACTTGTTAGTTTTTAAGCCTTTGGTAGACATACTAAGATCAATATAACCATAGAAGTTAAGTATAGAGTGAAGGACAAAGGGTGTTGGGGGGAAGGATCCACCAAGAAAGAAGAAATAGAATATATAGTTATGGAGAGACAAAGAGGGGAGTAACTATCACTAAGGATTATTTGAGGGGTTGAATGGAAACTTACTACAGTAGAAACTACTCCAAATTTATACATATATGAAATAAATTAAATGGGATCACTAAATAATGGGAGCAACCAAGCCCCAGTTAGACTTCTACCACCAAATGAAATCTCTAGTGTCAGGAATGGGTCACATCTACTTAAGAAGTTGATCAAACGGGACGTATAGACACATATACACAACCCAGGCTATTGCTTTCTCTCCAAAAACTGATGGCAAAACGTTTTGCTAAAAACAGCACTTTCTCACTGGACATGGAGAATTCAAGACGGTCCCTAGCTAAAGCCTTCATCCCAACTGGCCAGTGTTCATTGTACCAATAGATTGTAAGAGCAGAGGGGATGGAAGACACTAAAGAAACAAGGATTTCTAGGTACACCAGGACTGATGCACACACGGATCCACAGACTGCCGTAGCATGCCCAGGGCCTGCACAGGTCTAAAAGAGGCAGGGCCCCAATGCTGAGATGCTATGCATAAGCCCCCATCCCTAATCCAGAAACTATAAACAATTGACAGCTGTTAATAAAGAAAATATTATTTTTCTCCAAAGAAGTCTCCCCTAGATATACAAACCTCTCTGAAAGGCCAACCTCATGTCCAGCAGTAGATGGCCAACAAAAACAAACTCAATAGTACTCTCCACTTAGCCATTTTTTTTTTACCTTATTGGTCTTTTCTTTCTATATTATGGTTTTTGATTTTGTGATTTTATGGGTTTTGTCTCTGAAGGTGTGTTTCTCATGCTTTTTCTTTATTTTTGTTTTTGTTTTTTGTTATTCTCTGTTTGCTTGTTTTATTCTGGGTTGATTGTGTTTATATTTGTCTGTTTATTTTCTAAAAAAGAGAGAGAAAAGGCACAGAGTTGGATGAGTGATGTGGTGACGATTTGGGGGGATCTGAGAGTAGACATTGGAATATACTATGTGGAAAAAATATTTTTATCAAAAAGAAATTCACGTATCTCCAAACTCGAAGTTTGAGGCAGAATAAATGGCTTGGCAGTTAAAAGGATTCACTATTTTTCCGGAGTACCCCAATTCTCAGCACTCCCACTAGGAGACACACAACTGGCTACAACACTAGATCCAGGTGATCTAACCCTTGTTACTGACTTCGTAGGCTGTAAGAGCACAATCCATGAACAAAGCTGGGTGAGAAGAATTTTTGAGAACTTCTGAGAAAATTCCAAAGAAAAATGTCAAAAGTCTTAGACCGTCCGTTTCTCCTTAATAGGGTTTGTTTTTGTAATGTGTTGTCAACCCACTCCCAAGTATAATAAAAGTAGGTTTACTTTAGATCATCCATCATCTTACCCATCGTTATTCAGATTGAGATTTCCAAGCACAAGTTGTCCTTGTGACTGTATACAGCATAAACCAGTGGCTCTAAACCTTCCTAATGCTACAACCTCTTATGTTATGATGACCCAATCATAAAATTATTTTCATTGCTATTTCATAACTGTAATTTTGCTATGGTTATTAATCATAATGTAAATATTTGTGTTCAAATATTAGGTGATCCCTGTGAAAAGGTCATTCCACCACACACGTGCACACACACACACACACACACACACACACACACTTTGTTCCTCTGTTTGTTCCATCTTATTTTCCTTTGCACTGTTTCCTTTAGTCATCCCCTGGTTCTACTAGTATTGCTCAGGATGTGTTTATAATCCCTAGCTCAGGAAACTGTAACACACATGGCTCCACACATAAGTACTTGGAAATCTGTGTATGTGTGTCACTCTTGTGGAGGTGCCTATTGTTGCCTCTGTAGCTGGTGCTGTGAACCGAGGAGAGTGGAGTCTAAAATGAGGTGGACTAAAGTCTCATGCAACAGCCATCTTTATTGAGGGCATCAGACAATTTATATTCTGAGGTTACCCCAAGGGTTAGGGAAAGTCATTTCATTTGAGTTCAGGCTTTATACAGTCACAAAGGCAAGGCCACACCCAGTAGTTCTTCAAAGGGTCATGATCCTTTGAACGGATCAAACAACCCATTCACAGGTGTCACCTAAGTATGTGAATTTATGGTTGCATATTATCTTTGACAGTAAATGTTTGTTTAGTGGCACCTAGTCCCCATTTTCTCTACAGTAAGTATTTGTGTCTGAGTTTTATAGTCTTCTCTGTGAATCCTTAAATATTTTCCTCATAGAGTATTAATTACCAATAAGAACTGAAACTATGTTTTATAAAATCTAAGGTATTTAGCCTTGAACATCAGTTATGAGTGCAATAGTACTCACATTGAATCTTACAAATGATTGTTAGAGACGGAACTGTACAGCTCCTGGTGCTTTATGAAGCATTCCTAGAAAAGCTGTCTACCACATCCTCACCTCGAGCTTAACCTCTATTTGCATCGTGGTACTGTTGTGGGATAATATTTTTGTACACTGTGAAGATGTGTCTTTATCTTGGTGTTTTCTGGTTAGTTTAATAAAGAGTTGAATGACCAATAAAGAGACAAGAGAGAACAGACAGGACTGGAGGGGGGGGTCTACATGAGGGGAGATACCAAAAAACGCTGAAGAAGTCAGAGAAAAGGTACAGAGCAGAGGAAACTGAGCCACATGGCAGAATGTAGATTAATATAAATGGGTTAGTTTAAGTTATAAGAGCTAGCTGGGGCCAGGCAGTGTTGGTGCATGCCTTTAATCCCAGCACTTGGGAGGCAGAGGCAGGCAGATCTCTGTGAGTTCGAGGCCAGCCTAGTCTACAAGAGCTAGTTCCAGGACTGTTTCCAAAGAAACACAGAGAAACCCTGTCTCAATAAACAAACAAACAAACAAAAAACCCCAAACAACAAAAAAGAGCTAGTTGGGGAAAAGCCTAAGGCCAAGCTTTCATAATTAATAATAAATCTTCCTGTTATTTGTGAGCTGGTAGCCCAAACATAAGTAAAACTACATAGTACCACAGAGAAACATCTTCAAAGGCAAGAAAATTAAAAGCCCAAATAATTCCTTTCATTAGTAAAGCCCCCCCACCCCGCCGTACCTTTTAAAGCAATGCAGAAGGAAATAAAATCACCTGCAAATAAACATGGGCAAGAATTGTACTGAGTTTAAAAGTGGGTCAGTCACATTCCCTAAAGATGCCTTCACTGTATTCGGTGTTCTTTCTAGTAGCAGGACTCTTTCTCACTCTCCTGCAAACCCTGGTGCTGCTTCAGGCTTTCTCCTGGTAGGGACCTTATACTGTCTTGTACTTGTACTTATTCTTATACTTACACTTACACTTATACTAAGCTGGTTCATGTTACCTTGTCAGCCATCAGAGAAGTTCCTGGCTAACCATAAAAGATTTGGGTGAAAAAACTGTTGAGTGTGTATTGAGAAAGAAAGTGTGTATTAGGAAAATAGCTTCTTACCTTTGGAGAATGGACACTCCTATGCCTGGATGTGGCCTCTGGGGTGCCTGCTATCAGATCCCGGATTCTGTCATCAAGCTCCATGCTCTCACACCTGGCAAAGAGGACACGGGAAAGTCATGTGCGATAAAGGGGATTAAGATTATCCAAGGATGCAGTGGGCTTACAGGTGACAGGAAGGTGGCGTTTGTGTAGAGGGACTCTCTGCAATCTTTCTTTGCCAACAGGTGCAACCAAAGGCTGTACTCACAGTCACTGTTACCTATATTGTAGCTATGTTAGCTTGAGTTCAGGATTTTGATGTGTTCAGTGAAATCACACCTGTAACACCCGTAGGACAGGACCAGGCTCACATCAATCAGATGACATACTAACTTCTGTGTGTGTGTGTGTGTGTGTGTGTGTGTGTGTGTGTGTGTTTATGATGTGTGTATGAGTTTGTATGACTCTGCATGTATTCATGTCACAGAAAGTCCATGGAGGTAGGAGGTGTTGTTAGGTCTTCCTTGTCTGAGGCAGACTCTCTTTGTTGTTCACTATTGTGTATGACAGGCTAGCTGGTCCACAAGCTTCTGAAACTCTCAATTCCTCCTCCTATCATGCCTTGGGGATACTGGGATTATAGATGTGTGCTACTGTGACTGGCTGCAGGTGGGTTCAAACTCAGGTTCTTATGCTTCTGTGACAAGGACATTGTCATCTGAATCTTCTTCCCAGGCAAGGCCTACAAAGCATAAGAATAAAATATTTGAAGACGAAATGAATACAGTTTGAAGAGAGAATTAGTAAGATGTAATATGGACAAGGAAAATTCAATAAAACATAAATGAACAAACCTGGAAAAGTTAGTATGATAAAATGATAGTATAATGTACTTTTAATTAGTTATCTCAGGAGCCAAAGAAAGGATTTGCTAGGGACACTATACACAATGACTGTGAAATTCCAGAAATATTACTTCCATTCTGTAACCATTCTTAACTATTAACTTTTATTCCTGCCTTATTATTAACTTTTCTTCCTACCTGAGTACTTCAGTTAACCTAACAACAAATCTCAGCAGAGGGAAACACCACTTCATAGCTTAGAAGTATGTTGAAGCTGTGTAGGAAGAATCTAATTCTGCTTCATCCGTGAGCACCACTGTAAGCTGTGCTCCAGCGGTCAGTCACTGGTGGCACTGAGAGTTTAGCATGCCCTTTCAGTACAAGACCAGTATTCTTGTCTGTTGATTGCGAGCCTGACCTTTCCAGGCTGAGACACTGCTCCAGCCTGCAAGATCATTATTCTTTCCCATTTGCACTGGCATGAAAGAGAAATCTTCTCATTAAAATGCAACTCACATTAACTGTAGCATTTCTGTATACATACATACATACATACACACACAGAGAGAGAGACAGACAGAGAGAGAGAGAGAGAGAGAGAGAGAGAGAGAGAACCACATGAATTAAGAAGGAGTTCTAAAATGTCTCCAAATGAAATTAGCAAGGAGATAGAAGGCCTAACAGTATGTCTGCAGGGCAGTGGCTGATGGGGCTGTCTGCCCAACCTAGTGTTTTCTTTCAGAGTAACTCCCAGGAGGAAGCAATACCATTTAGGCTTATGATAACACCTGATATTATTGCTCATAATTACTAGACCCAAAGTAAGCAACTGACCTTACTGCCCCATGTCTACAATTAGCTATCTCTCTCTTTTGTAAACAGCAAAGATAATTTTGCTTGTTTTCTGTTATTTGTAGCAAAAAAATCTATAAATAATGAAACTTGATCTTCACATTTCCTTTAATGTTCCTAGCAGACTGTGAAATGTCTGTACCTTACACTGTCACATATACCCTGCTCCACCCTGCTGTAAAACAGAATCTATTGAGCCACTGAGCACCTTTCATATCCAGAAAGATTGAATAAGCACAGTACAGATTTTAAATCTACTTTCAAGGTTCCCACACTCTTCTAAGAGGATTCCTCAAACCCTTCCACAACCATGTTGGTTTTTGTCACTAACAAATACCTGAAAGGAGCAATGATAAGAGCAAGGATGTTGTTTTCGTTCAGTGTCTCAGAGGTGTCTGTCCATGGCCAGCTGGACCAATCAGGGTGGTGTTGGAAGGGCAGCAAACATGGCAGAGCCTTATGGGGGCTCGATGGCAGAAAAAATGATGGTTGTGTCAGCAATTGTCCCCCCACTTTCCCCGCCATTTCATCACACCCCTAGCATTTGGATGGGGCCCGTGGACAGATCTTCCCTTGCAGACAGACCCGGAGCTGTGCTTTGCTAGTCCTGCAGGTGTCTCTGAAATCAGTCAACTGTCTATCACAATTATTCATCACAGAAACTGCCCCCCAACCTTAGATTCATCAGGACTCTACGAAGCAGTAGAACTGGAGCACACAGACAACCAAGGCCTCAGGTTGCTTCCTGACTTGTATGGTGATCTGGACTTGCCTGCCAAGAGGCCACACTACTTCCTAGTATCACAACCTTTGGCAGAAAAGCAAGTGGTTCTGAGCATTTTAAGAACACAGGCAGAGGGATCCCTTGAGAAGATCCACTCTGAGGTCCTGGTCCTGAAATGTTCTGGTTCTTCGCTGCCTTCCTGACTTTGTCTTCTATTCTCTCTTCCCTGTTCTTTCCCACGTTTGTTTCTTCATAGTTTATGGAAAATGTCAAACAGTTCCCTTTTTGGGGCCTGACTGTAAGCATTGGCTTTGTGGCTCTTGCTTACCCAGTTTACTTAGGTCTTGCTCAAATGCCACTTTATTAAGGATGCTTCTTTTCACTAGTCACACAGACCCACTTTGTACACTCTGTTACAATTGTCCCTCAGTTCTGCTTTATTTTTTTCTAGAGTTTTGATTATTTTGATATGGTTTTAAAGTTTCACTTCCTCCCATATCCACCTCTATATGTTCTATGAAAAATGTTCATTTACTTTTTTTTGTTTTTTTTTCCCCCAGCAGACCTAGTACCTCCATGAATACCGGTTATTGAATAGAGTGATCCCATGGTGATATTTAATTGGAAATACTGATTAACACAATTATAAACATTAAGTTGGATGCTGTCTAAAATGCATACAAATAACCTCAACATTCATGGGTCAGCTGAGGCAAAGCATGGATCATCAATCCAGGAAACCATAGTAACAGCTTCAGAATGGGCACTCAGAAACAGTCATTGCCCTCGAGCATCCCTGTATATTCACCTCCTCAACTACGTGTTAACTGCTGCAAAGTCCTGACATCACAGAGGAAACCCTTATGAAGTGATGATTCTCACTGCCTCTGCTTAGTTGCTTGACATGCATGAAACCCAGAAGTTCCCTTCTCTTTGCATTTGGACAGGTGGATAATTATCTATGGGTCTACCCCATAGGTAGGCCTTGATACATCTGTTTGATATAATCATGGTTGGAAATGTGTCTGCCAGACTCAGAACCAAGAGACATCCTCTCTCAGAGGTGGGTTACAGGACATTCTGAAGATGGTGATTCCTTTCAGTAGCCACACATCATTGACTTTGGTCACTGTAGGAAGAAGAGAAGGAATAGTGAAGGAGAGAATCACATGGTAGTGGCAGGAGTCAGCGAGTTTGGCCACTCCTAAGGAGAGTGGGGAGAGGGCATGCACAGCTGGTGCTCGGCTTCCAGTGGAATGGAAGGCGAAAGGGCACACATAGCTCTAGGTATTGCATCTTGGGTAGCACTTGTGTTAATCTGCTTTTTCTCATTGCTGCCCGTGTCTGTGCCACTCTGAGTATAACCTAGAACCTCCATATGAAGCCTCTGTGAAAGAATTCAGTAGAAGCTAAATAGATAAATGCTGTTCAAAGGTCAAACATAATGGGCCCTAGTGTAAGTCCCTCTCTGATCCCATTGGCTTGGTTTATAAAATAGGAAAACAGTGTTTTACTGGGTTTAGGCTTGGTGATAATACAGCACAGGAGAGGTGTTGTTGCATACTCCCAAATAGAGCTTTACCATTGTTACTTTATTCTAAGGATGCCACGTGATTACCAAGTGATGTCACAAGTGAATTTGGAAAGAAGGACTCAGAAATTTAGCATACTGCTAAAAAACAGGAAAAATAATTTAAAAAGCACAAAAATTTAATTTTGTATAGAAGATAATAAAATGATTAGTGACATTGTTGAATATAAGAAGATTTATTTAGATTTTGTAAAAATATTAACACTTTTTCAAGAATATTATCTAATCAATGTAAGAACTAAGTAGGTGAAAATAATTTGTGCTTTGTTTTTAATTAGTATAATCCCTTATGCTTTATGAATTCTGATGTTCTTGAAAACCAAGAGAAATGCAAGCCTGCTTTTTCTCTATAGAGTCACAATCCTGACAATGGGGGCAGAAATTGTTAACCGTGATAGATGCCTGTTTTCTTTTTAAGTCACTAATTAATTGTATCCACATAGTTATATCCTTATTGTAACACAATGAACTGTGGTTTGCAGTGGAGTGTAAAACAAAACAAAAACCAGAGAAGTTGGAGAGACACTCCGTCTTTAAGGGATCTGAGTTTGTCCCCAAGAACAACAAAACTACATCACACCAAACACAATCTCAGCCCTGGGAGGGCAAGGCCCAGGTTCTCCACTCAGCTACCTTAGTCTAGTTGCTGAACCCCAGACTGGTGAGAGAGCATGTCAGAAAGGATGAACAATGCCTAAAGAATGAACCTCAGGTTGTCCTTTAACTTTCATATACGCATGCATACAAATCTGTCCCCCACCACACACACTCAAGGCCACTTAAAAGCAAAATTTCATCACGTAATTATTATAGGAATTAGTGGAGAAAAGTGAGGACAGTCTGTTAAGCCAATTTGACAATGAACTTTTGGGAACTAGCTTCTCCTGGCTTCTATATGACTATGAGTTGTTTCCCCCACAGAGGTCTATTCTCCCAGAGCCCAGTGGACCACCGGAGAGGAAGGGGAGAGGATGAGCAATTGCCAGGAATCTTTGGAGTTCTTCTGCTTTCAGAATTAGTTCAAAGGTTTTCAGTAGAAACATCTTTAAAACATTTAAGACATTAAGCCCCCAAATGGCTGTCTTCAATGCCATTGTTTA